TTCCTTCCTTCCTTCCTTCCTTCCTTCCTTCCTTCCTTCCTTCCTTCTAATCCCTTTTGTCTGACCCATTTTTGTAAGACAATCTGCAACACTTTTTTCCCTTTTCATGAATCTCATCTGCTCTTCACTTTTTTTTTTTCTGCTTATCGCCATAATTTCACCTATCCCTTACTCTGCCTCTTTCTCGGGCTGCAGATCCGCTTTGTCCTTCACTGAAACACTCAATGTCACTCGTACCTTCTGCACAGTTAACAGACAATGCTCTCTGCCTTTAAACCCTCCCACACATCTCCATTCGCCCAATCAAATGCAAACATGGAGATACAACTGCAACAATTTTGTGGAATGTTAAACAAATCCACGTACAGGATTCAGACAAATATCCTAAAACAAGAAGATTTTTTTTTACCTTATGGTATTGAAAAATTCAGGTACTGCAAGTAATGCATGGAAAGTACATAAAGTGACAACAAATAATAGGTGGTGATGATGGAAGTTTAACATGCTGATTTATATGCATACTGTTACCACATAGTCTTGTATAGCTCTGGTTGAAATTTCAGAAAGCAAAAAGCTGTAACTGAGAGTTTGTACAATAAGGCAAATTATAATTGTTTGGGATCAGGTTCTTCTTTTTTCTAGATTTATCATACCACAGACAAAGGCAGCTGAAGAATGGATCAATTGGAAAACGTGGATGTAAGTTCCAAGGTTTTTATCAGATGAATTCAATGTATTTTGGCTTTTTTGCATGTTTTTTGTTTCATAAGTTAATTTTTTCTTTCTTTCTTAAACAAAATTGTGATAGTTAGTGTTAGAAACATATATTGTGTATTTCATTTTTGGCTGGGTGTTTAATTTTGCTGATAAAAAAGATTTCTTACTTCTTAGGTCCGTTTTTTTCACAAATCTGATTCCACTTTGATTATTTTTTTTATTAATTAATCATCCCTGTGAAACCGCTAAGGATGTCTTTTTTTCAATTTGGGATGTTTTTCCATACTTTTTGCATTTTGGTTAAACCCCTCATATAAAAAACAAATATTTTATTTCAAGATTGCTAGAAGTGGAGATTCAAAGTGTCTTTTCTTGAGGCTTTTTTTTTTTTCTTCTTGTTTGATGATACACATTTTTCTCAGTCTAGCCCCAGAAAATATTCTATAAATAACATATAATCCAAAGTATTTTCTTTTCTATGTGGGTGAATAATCCTAATCTGATTAGTAACAATACTCTGGTACAATTTTTATTGTCTTTGGAAATTGGGTTAATTTTATTTCTAAAGGATGAGCAGAAAATATACAGAAATCAAAGCTTATCATAAATCCATGAGCTAGGACCCTCCTTATAATTACCGTGAGAGATTTTTTTCTTCTTACATTTTCATTTTAACCTACCTAGGATGGCTAACACCATTTCGTCTTTCAGCACTTCCATGGACCCTGAGCAGACAAAGAAGATGGCCTGGAGAGCATCGCCCTGTCGGAGGAGGTATTCCCCTGGGGTGCAAAAGGATGTCTTAATGTGCAGTGACAGCGAGCGCAGGCAGCCGCGACTGGCAGAGGCAAACAATGACAGTTCCAGGATCTCCTTGTTAAGATGCATGGTGATGTCAGACCGCAGCTCATCTGGAAAGTCTTTTAGCAGCTGTGGAGATGACGGGTTGCAGAACAGCAAAGTAGGAGAAAATAAGAATCCAAAACAATAGAAAGGAGGAAAGAAAGTGTGACAGCTGCGAAAACACTATTAGACAACTTGGTAATTGAATATTTAACCTTCGCTTTTTAGGATCCCTAACTTTGATTTATAAAGCTCCTTAACACACAATGTTGAGTTACCCTATCCAAGAGCAGCCATAAAATGGCATTACATCTATGAACGATTGTCTCATCAGGGAGAGAAATCTGTAGCTCCCAGCTACATAGATTTCTTCAATGAGTCATCAGAGCCAGACTTACTTTAATCAACAGGCCCATCTATAATTCATCTGTCTGGGATTCATCAGTATCCCTCCTTCCAAGCTCTGGTCAGGATCCTGACAGCTGTCTTGCAGGCCTACACAGCCCCGGAGGGATGAGTTACGGCGAGACAACTGACAGGTATCCCTAAGCTAGTCAAGTAAAGGTGTCATTTAAAGCTTATGTGGAGGAATTTCCTGTAAAAGGCTACACTTGCTAACTTTTGTTTTCATATAAAAATTATACATGACTCATTTGTATTTTTTTAATTGTAATGAAAAACTGCTCTGTATAGAGCCAAGCTGGGTTCTAAATAAGACCATTGCCGATGGATAACTATGCATGCTAAAACATCCTCCTTCCTCTATTAAAGTATCGATCATATTATAACATTTTTAATGCATTTTAATGCAACTTAGATGTGAGAACCAAATGAATGATCTGGTGGAATATTGATCCTAATATGTTATGCAACTTTTATCTAGGAAGAGTCTGGAGATAATTGGGTAGAGAAGGTTTTGTCTTTAAGTCTTTTTCCAGACTCATTTGTTTTTTGACGAGGGAAGAGATTTTCTATTTACATGTTTATTTAGAAAAGGGGGTGAAATTGTTCCTCTTGCTATTTTAACATAGCAGCAATTGGTTTACCGGTAAACTACAGCATGCCTATTTTTTTCTTCAAAAAACAGTATCTTAATTTTCCCATTAAGGCTAAATGAAATTAAGATTTTGTTTCTTCTAAAACTAGGAGAGAATTTCAGTAAGACTTCAACTTATTTGCAATAAAAATACAGCTGATGAGAATTAGAACATCTGTCCAACTTATTTTTCTACCCTTCTTACCTTTTAGGAGAATAATTGCATACATTTTAAAGAAAAAAGAAAAATAAATAGTTAATGATTTAAATTTAAATGAAACACGTTTTAGAGGATTTTATTTTAGAACATAAGGTAAATGGCCCTAAATTATGAGTTTAATCTATTTCCGCATGGCAGTAATCATTCAAGGGCAGCAGTTCTCCTCGGCTCCACAAATGACAGAAAACGATATACCTAAAATAAACTCAGAAAGAAACTCAGATGGACATAAATATTAAAGGAAGAAACATTAAAGTTATATGTGTATCCATTGGTCATAAAATGTACTTTAAATCTTTTTTTTAATCTAAGAATTGAAAAAAAAACAAGGTTGCTTTTTTCTCTGTTCTTTCAGTGTTTAACCACCTTAAGCACTGATCAAAAAGGTGGGAGTAAGAATAAAAAATATTTTTATGCACCTCTCTCTAGTATAGTCTTGCTCACGCAAATGCCTCCTGTGGCAGAAAGCAGTACTACAAAAGTAAACCCTACTTCATCATGAGTGTTGATTATTTTCGACCCTTCTCTATTTAATACGTATCACCATATCTGTTCACAAATTAAAAAATAAAATTGTTACAGACTATTTTAGCTGTTTATGTAGATCTTTAAGTATTTTTTTTTCTTTGAAGCATTGGGTCTGTCAAATGCACTTTATAAATTAGCCATAGTAAATTCAGTTATTTTTGCTTACCTTTTTGTTTAAAACATTTTATGAGCTGAAAACCTCAGAAAACCTTTTTACCTGATGATAACTTTTGAAAATATAAGCTATAGAGGAGAGATAAATAGATGAGAGTCAAATGAAAAAAATATACTTTTACTTTTACATATTAAGTTTCTGAAAACACACAGAAAAAAAAAAATACATATCTTTAAATCTGTCGCAACTTTGTCCTCAGAGTGAATTCCTGTAGTTTCTGATCAACTGATAAACGCTTTGCAGCAGACTTTGTTTTCTTTTGTTGCATCTCCTGACCTTGAATTATGTTTTGGCAGCTCGTATGATTAGAAAAACGAGTACAGGAGAATGAACTTAGCTACTGCAAAATATTCAGAAAAAGGATCTATCTTGTCATAAACAAGTGTTTCTAGTTTTATGGAGTTAAAAAAAAAAAAAAAAAAAAAAAAAAAGAAAAACACAACAAATTTATCAGATTAAGTAGGTGGAATATTTAAATATTTCCTTTATAGGCAGTAAAACAAAAAGAAAAAAAAACATGAGGAAAAACTACAGATTCTGAACCTTTGCTTTGTTTGTGAAAAATCTAATACTTCTGCTAAAATACACAAATAAGTAAAACCATTTGTGCTTAGTACCTCATTGCAGTCAATTCCATTATTGACCGACCAGGTTGTCTGAAAGTATTCAAGCATTCTCTGCTTAAGGCTCTGTGGCAGATGATGGACACGTATGAAATCCTTGAGGTCTTTGGTCCTGGTGTGGTACTGGGACCAGCGAGAGTACATCCTCTGGATAATGGCTGTCACATTGCCAAAGACCAAAGCATGCATCAGTGCTGCGAGTAAGAGGAGAAAGAAAAGAGGATGATGAGAAGCTAGACAGGAAGCAGACAGTGGAGAACATGAATGATTAAAACATCAGCAAACTGTCCTTTAAATAGGAAAAAAATATTTCAAATTTAGCCATTTGAAGGAAATATGATGAACAACAGATAAAGCTTCTAGTAACAAATTAAAATCTCTAGTTTAATATCTAAAGAAAGCTCTGGTTAACCAAAAAAGCTAAAAAACAATCTGGACTTTGTTTTCAAGTTTGAAGACGTTTCGCTTCCCATCCAGGAAGCTTATTCAGTTCAAATTGTCAGAAATAGCGTTGAGTTCGAGGCTTTATGGAGTGGACCAAAAACAAAGCCTTGTTTTGGCTTAGAAAACATGCAAATTGAACCGGACGAACGGCTCCTCCCCTTAAAAATGGGCAGTCGTTTGGGTTCTTTGTTAGCCTGCAATATTGATACTTGTCTATGTCTCTGAAAGGGGGTCGTTAGGGGCATCAAGGCCAACAATTTCCCCTAACTTCTTCAAACTATGAAACAAAGTCCAGTGGATTGTTTTCTAACTTTTTTTGAATGACTATGACTTGGATGACTGAGAATCTTCACCAGCTATGATTAACACTGTCTGCTCAACTATTTGCTCCCTTACAGATTTCTGCCATATCTGCACTTAGTGTTAGGGTTATATGTCAGATTTTAATGTCAGATTAGAATAACTTCAGCAAATATAAGTAGCAGTTTTCAAATAATGATTTGATTTAATAGGTGGGAAAAAGATATCCAGCATGAGAAATTTAAAAGAGAAAATTGTTCTCAAAACCTGTTAAATCACTTTTAAAGAGGTTTGGCAAGTTGCAGTGTGGAGATTTGTTTTTGTTTATTGAGCATAAATATCCGTTTTAAGTAAGAAAATTGACTAAGCCACCTGGATATTGTTTTTCCTTTGCTGTCCAGAAGTGTACCAGGTATGCTTCAGATCATTTTCCTGCTACTTCAGGATAATCTGAATTATTCATGGTCCTATCAGATATAGTAGGCTGTCTTAGTCCCGCAGCAGCAAAGCAGAGCCGTAGCATTACACTACCCTCACCCACTATGTGTTGTCATTGTTGTTTATTTTTTCTATTTATTATTTTTGAAGTTTTGTTAGTTTTATTATAGATAAAACAGGAAATGGTTATTTTGGAAAGTCCCCTGTTTGTTTTAAAGTCTACGTTGTTTTGGTTGGATTCCATTTGGATGGCATTACTTTTCTTCTTGATTCTTTCCCATAAATGTCACCTTTCCCTGTTCTGTTTCTTACTGTCAAATTATGCATACCATCCTTAACTGAGGCATCCAAGACCTTGAGTGCTTTAGATGTTGTTCTGGGTTGTTCTGTGACCTCCTTGATGTTCTCTGTGAGTAATTTTGGCCAGAACTTAATGATTCACTTTTTCTTCATGTTTTTTTCTCCAATTGAAAAAAAACAAAACCTTTGTAGTTCTTTGCAAATGGACAGATGTATGTTACTTTGTGTTCTCATTGGTTGGTATTTTTCTCTAGAAATGGGGACATGTGTTGCTTTTTTGAGATGAAATAGCCTACTTCATGCTCTTAGATTCTATTTGAATGATTTATTGTTTCTTCTTACTTGATAAGAGTAAGACCTCGGTGTGGCAAGTGAAATTGTACACAGTGTTTACATGATAGTCAACTCTCAATTTAACAAGTGATACATTTACACACAGGCTAGGTTGGTTGAACTAATTAACATAATAACAAAGTGCATGTTTTAATTCTTGATAAATCTATTCGGGGCATATTTTACTGACATATTAGATTTTCAATCTGTAACATATTTCTTTTTGAAGAAGAAGAATCTGTATAGGCATACATTAAGTTTTCATAGCATTATAGATGCATTGCAGAAAAGATCAGTATGAGTTTATTTGGAACAACTGAACATCAAAAGGTGACTTGTAAACTCTCATATTTCATGTATTTAACTTGATTTTTATGATAAAATCAAATAAGAGAAAAGTTAAATATTCCGTTAACATTTATATGTTACATACAGGATGTCAGCAAAACTGTGACTTTATTTGATTGTATAGATAGAATGCTTCCCTTTCAACACCTACAGGTGATCGATTCTCCTGATTGAGCCAAAAGCTGGACATTATTTTATTACTAGTTATCTTTTGTTTTCTTGTTCCTCTAAAACTGACAAGTGCAGACGATAAACGGTTTTCTGCCATTTTAATTTGTACTTCCAAGATTTATTCACACTAGCTCTTTGTAGTTTGTTTTCATGATCCTAATATGGTCCTGATCAATATATCTTTTATAGTTTTCTGATATTGCAACATTTTTCCTATTACAGGTACTTTAATTGTTCTTCAGGTAAAATGAAAAGCCCAGTAATGTATTGCTTTTACAGATTTTTTGAATTTATAGTTGTTGTTAAATCCACTTAAATCCAGACCAAAGGATGTTATGCCCCAATTTCTTCGGTCAAATAAAGACAAAACACTAAGCATTGTCTGTTACAACACACTAAAATTATAAGTTTGTTATTAACAATATGAAAACAGGCCTAGCATAAAAGACCAGCTGAAAACTAATGTACATCTCCAGTTTCTATGTCAGAGGCTTTTTTAAACATTTTTCATAGGGTGAAGTCCAAACCGCAATAAAAAGAACTGAAAGTTTAAAGAAAAACCAAGAAACAGTCTGGGGAAAAAATGTCAACCCAAATAGACTTTAAAAGTCTTTGCGGCAAAGTATAAAGGAATTAAGTGTTAAAATTATAGAAATCTAAAACTTTTGTAATGACAAATATTATTTTGTAATGCTTCTGTTTCTTTTTGTATCTTGTAGGGATTTTGGTGTCAGATTCTATACTTCGCTGACTCCTAGTTTAGTATAATAGATATGTTGGTTTTGACTTTTGGTTAATTTTCCACATTCACGCAGCAATTCAAACAAATCCTTTTACCATAGCAATTTTTTTATTTGGGGTAAAAAAAAATGTAAGTTTATATATCCAGTATGGTTGAATTTTAGAAATATATGTATTTCTTATTATCATTGATTACAGTTCTGTTCTCCTTTTACCTTGATTTTGTGCCTTTGTATTCCTCCTTCCTTTGATTTTGCAGCCCTGTGATTAAAACATTGTAAATTAATTAATTTCTAATTTTTCCATGTTTGCTCAAATCCTCAAATACTAAAAGTACTTTACTGTAATACTCCAGGACTACTATAGTAGATTGGCTCTCCTGAAGTCTGACAACTTCTGACCCTAGGCAATCCACAATAATTCTGACCAATGTCATATAACACAATTCTGTACAGTAATCGATGAGTATATTACATTAATCTTTTTGAATGCCCCCGCTGGGTATTAAAAATGCCCAAGGCTAATATGAACCGACAGCATAAAATTCCCTTCTCAGAGGACATTTTAAATAACTAATAAGTCAAATACTAAAAAACAACAACCATAAAGCATTGATATTGTGAAAATGACCAAATAAACCTGAGTTTTCTCTTATTTTATCTTAAATTGATCACTGTTCATTTTTCTCCTTCCCTGCAACCTCTATGGGATGCTTATTATTTTTGAGCTTCCAGTTTGTTTTCCCCTGAGTGCTTCCAGTTCTTCCTGTTCCTCTTAACCGTTTTCCTGAAGTTAATTTCTAACATGGTTCAGATCCAAGTAACCACTCCTGCCTCCATTGCTATTGCTGTACCAGTTAGTCTCTTATTTGTGCTTAGTTTTGTACTTTTTTTTAAATTTTTACACTGCTTGAAGTTGGTTTTCTTTAACATCACCCTTCCTGTCCTTTGGGTCCTACTTCACTACTACTGCTGACATAAAAATCACCATTTTAAAATCCTTGCTAAAAAAGAAGACAGCTTGTTTTGTCTAGCTTGTCTAGTAGGACTATGTCCTAGAATGTTGTTTAGAAAAATCTTATATAGTATTTTTTAATATATATTTTCTTGATCCCATGATGTATTGAGATGGTGTTATTCATTAGGTTCTTTGTTTTTCATATTATTAAACTGCCACCTGATAGAGTAACTCTCAGTTTTGTTTTTCCTACAATAAATTTGAACCGGTGATTCAGATTAGTTTTCATTCCACAGCGCCCCATCAAAAATGACATGCATGTGAGCAAACGTGGACGTGATGTGTGTCTGTGGCTTCTCCTGCTACTGTCCTCAGGCAGCTGGGGACATTTAGCATTTAGCAGAAACAGAGAGAAGGGAGCATCCACCGGGAAAACTTTGCACAAGTGACTTCTGCTCAATGCCAGAAACCAAATATACTCAGTCTGGTTTAAACTAGTTCAGGCCATCCTGCAAAGTTTTACACTGAATGGTACTATAATGGAACAGGAAAACTGCCGGAAAAAAGACGAAAAAAAAATCCAATAATGTGCTATTGAAATTTTAACTAGGACAAGATGAATTAGTCTTATTAGCTTGGTTTCATCCATTACTCTTCACGATGAAGTCTCATTCTGGAATTACATGTTGAAGACATAATGAAGGAGTCATTTCCACAAGACATGGATTTTTACATATAATGTGTCACAAAAGTTTCCCCACGACCTTGAACTTTTTTTATATTTTGTTACATAGAAAATTATTTTAGTTATTTCTTTTTATTGGAATTTTATGTGACCAAAACCTAGAAATCGGCACTTTGAATCAGCATCAGTTAGATGTGTGTACATATACAATGAATTTGACTTTGGATCATAAATTTCTCACAGTACAGTATGCCAATACATTACAATAACACACTAATACAGCAATGGATAAATTAGCACCAGGCCTTTATAATGATGGGTTCAGTGTTTGGTTCCTAGGATATAGTGACTCCAATAAACCTCAAGTTCACCAAGTACAGCAGAGAAAGGGCAGAGTGGTGGGGAGGGATCTGGCTGTTCTGGCTGCACCATAGAGCCAGCTGATCAGCCTTCCATCTGTTGGCTGACTCATGGGCATTCTAGAGCAGCGTTTCCCAACCATTTTTGACTTGTGTACCCCATTGGGCATTTTGTCATACCATGAGTTTAACGTACAATTGATTATAAAATAGAAACTATTTTACTTAATCTTTTATAAATTCTTAGGCATTTGATGCTTTTAATCTCAAATCAAAAAAACAACACAAACATGTTGCCTAGCAATTAGTGAGGAATCGAAATAAATACTAAATAAAAACATATTCTAAACCTGTATTTATAAAACTGGAGCTCCTCTGAGTAACTCCGTTATAATCACATAATTTAAACTTGATAAATTTGGGAACACAATACAGAACAAACATTTTATTCAGACTGACTTAAATAGTTTTACTTGGTTTTCATCTTACCTCAGTTTTAAAAACAGCTTATACCAGGCTCTTCTCTACATATACTCTGTTCCTCTGCTTGGTTTTGATGTCTGTCAAAACTGAAGGTGTACTCAAACAAGAAAAACTCATTTTTGGTTGAGAAAAGCTGGTTTTATTTTTCAATTGGGTCCTCAAAAAAATACAATCAAAATCCTTTTACTACCTAAGAAATAAAATATTTTCATCTACCCCTTGCACTCGCGGACGCTAGGGGTACTTGGTAAATCAAAGGATGGCAAATCTGCAGAAATCAGAGTTAGATCTCTTGTTTTGTTAGAGTGTGAATATTCACCAGGTCAAGAGTGCAGGGTGGAGACACCCTGCACTTCCTTCGCTGTAGGGCATACCAGCACGCTTTGCCCTATGGCGTTGGGGAAACTCTCATACATTCTGTGGCGGTTCAATCAGGAAATAGTGTGATTAGATGGAAGTTAAATGAACTCTTCACTGGTACAAGTTCCCAAAAGTAAAAAAAAAAAAAGCATAAAGAAAGCAAAACGGCATAATCCAGAGGCTAAAATCTGCAACACCATAACCCTTGTAAGAAGCACCTTTTGTTGCAGTTGTTGTTTTTGTGCAATGCCTCCACCAGCTTTGTATGTCTAGTAACAGGTGGACCTGTTCTTCTGGTTCAATATGGATGTTTTCTAAGCCAAAACAAGTTTTTGAGCTACTATATAAGCTTCAAACTCAACGCTAATTCTGACATTTGGAATTTGAAAAAGCTTCCTGGATGGGAAGCGAAACGTCTTCAAACTTGGGAAAAAAAGTCCAGTGGATTGTTTTTTTTTTTTACTTTTTTGGAATGGATAATGGCTGTCCTATTGACAGATTCTTACACCTGAGATATTCGTTGCAGCTCCTGTAGACCTGTACTGTTCTCCTTGCCTGGCATGTCAATTAGGTTGAACAGGTGTTTATCTAAACCATTCTACTATCTACAACTATTCTTAAGAAATTCTATTAGTTTATAAACAGCACAGTTAGATATTCAGATCTTCTCCACAAAATGATCCCTGGAATGTTAGGATTATTTTTGGTCTTAATGAGTGAATGAATAGGAATTTATTTCAGACAGTTTTTGACGAACAACAATAAATGAGTCAACCAAATACACACAATAGAGACTAGTTAACATCAACCAAACCAAACACCTATTTCCTAAGTAACTAAATTCAGCTGAACATAAACAGAAAAACACGCTCCACCAAATAAACATGTCGGTATATACCGCTTGAGAAATAACATTGATTATTGTCATGTCTTCATATTGCTGTTTGTTTTCTATTGTTCTCTAACCAATCTGAGGCCTTTAAAGACTATATAAATATTATATCATAATCAGATTAACTAGATCTATTAATGGGTAAAGGTAGTTAAAAGTTGGATAGACTGCACTTTATTTAGAAATGTAAGGAAAAAAGGGACTTAACTACTGTAAGGAAGGCGAGAGCAGTCGTGTCCCTTTCGATACTTTTTCACGGGGGTTTTACTCGAAAACAAGTTAATTTTCTCATTATGTAAAGATAACAAAAGCTGTTTTCTTGTGTTAACGAGATGATGATTTTCTCATGAGACAGCCGTTTTCTCATTATAACGAGATGACTGGTGTGTGATATTACATACGTCAACACCACAACAGCGGGAGGCGATTTATAAGTATAATTCATGGCAGCCTATGTGTAATTCTGTAAATAATCCTGTGTTTAGCTTTAAGGTAACTTCTGATTCATAAGCAATTAGAACTATGCCTCTGGTGCAGGTAACACTGGGTGTTCTCTGAACAGCACCGCTGGTGCATTAACCCCCAAAATGAGTCCAGATTGAAGATTTTCATAAAAAAAAAACAGTCAGATTTGTTTATACTGTATTCGATGCAGTCCAATCATCCACTACGACCTGACAATAAGTGAAAAGAAAAAGGAAACAAAAAAACTGATTATTTGGGCGCATGCAGTACATACTGCACAACTAAAGGGGCCGTAGGCATGGATGGAGTGGGAATCCAGGGCTGTTGGCCAGCCTCATTCATTACTCATACAGGTTATTTATCTTGTTATCTCCAGAAATCAATAACTGTCATGTGATAGTGAGATAACTATTTTGTTACCTTGAGAAAACAATAATTTAACCATAATAACGAGATAGTTATGTATTTATCTCAAGAAGGCAAAGGAAAAAACAAAGTTGAGTTTGACCCCCCTCGGCTTCCATACTTAACACAGATATCATACTTGCCAGATTTGCATTTATGTGAAACATTTTAAAAGACAGAAAATATGTGATTTTTACTGTAAACAACTACTTCGTAATTTTTTCCTCTTGTAAAATTGGTCCAAAATATTTAAAATTTTCCGGTTTAAATGAGAGCTCTAGAAGTATAGGTGTTTGTAGAAGGCAGTGTGCACCCTGAGATGTGTTATAACGGCGGATGTGTTTCGTGTACCTCCGATGAGCATGATGCAAACAGAAAAGATCTTCTCAGCGTCCGTGTTGGCAGACACGTTGCCAAAGCCCACACTTGTCAGGCTGCTGAGGGTAAAGTAGAGTGAGGCGATGTAAACACTACGGATAGAGGGACCACTGCCAGTAGTGTTGACTTCTACCACACCACCGTATGGAGACTCTAGACGCTTTCCAAGCTCATGGAGCCACCCTGTTGTAAGGAGAATGAGAACTAACTTTAATGAATAAAAAGGAAATGCTGTAAATGCATGTTAACAGAGGTTAAAAATTCCCTAAATACTCAAGAGGATTTCTGCAGCAGACATTAATAAAAAAAAAATTAAAAAAGTGTTTAATCTATGTTAAGATCTCTTTTTTGCAATATCCAGAACGATACAAATAAGTTCCAAAACCAAAGCAGAAGTTTGGAAACCAAAAACTCTTCTTAGTCAGTACAGCATGGATCCATGCAGCTGATCCCGCGAGACTCTCTCACTGACACTGATGAATGGTAATTGGAAGGAAATACCTTACGCCTGCTTCACTTCAACACTAACTTCAGCGTCAGAAGTAAATAATTAGGACACAAAGCAGTAATCCTGCTTCATGCATTGGCCCGTTATTTTATGACACTGAAAGGCAGTAATTGGTATAGAGAAACCTCCAAAGCTGCTTAGAGAGAATGAGATAATTACAGGCATTGCAGCGCATCAATACTGACCAGAGATCAGCTCAGTGGGGCTCATTACATGACTGACCTAGAGGCTGAGGGCTAAGCCATGAGGGTCTATCATTAATTATGAATAGTCAAGGAAACCACACTTAAAAGAGTTGCTATTCTAATGTTTCACACTCTAACACCTTTTTAATCTAATAAATACCCAGAGATTTAGCCAAATTGGGATGTAATGGGATTATTATTGCTGTTACAGAAATCATGTAATGGAGAGTTTTTGCCTACAGCTTCCCATCCATCCATCCATCCATCCATCCATCCATCCATCCATCCATCCATCCATCCATCCATCCATCCATCCATCCATCCATCCATCCATCGCCCTTTTGTTTAGCTCTAAAGCATATAAAACACATCAATTCTTTTATTCCTTTATCAATCTATTATAATAAACAGATGTAAGAGTAAGCATGGGCACATAAAAATGCACACATTGTTGATTCAGGATGATTTGGTAAAACATTTCCATTTGCCATATCACCTGGCTTCCACCTCACAGTTCAGCACTACTGTGTGATAGTGTACTGTATGAAATCCTAATAAAAATGTTTACATTTGGGGTACATTACATTTAACATCTTTGGATGTTTTGTTCACAGCTTCCCAACTTACAATAATTATTGATTGTTTGTAAAGAGTCTTTAATAAAAAAATTAATAAATAAAACGAAGTCTCCCTGCTCTTTAAAATGTCATACTTTTTCATATTATGCAGTGAAAATACAGATTTCAAGTCTGAAAAATAAACAGAAGTTATCGTTTTAAGGAGTGTCAGGGCCATGGTACTAAAAAAGTAATAATCTGCTGATATTTTTTCAATTCCTGACAGCCTCCTCGAACCATTAGATAAAAAGGAGCTTAAACCTCATGACAAAAATCTCAGTTCTAACATCTTGGTCTCTATGGGCTTTATTAAAGTGTTTACCGATATCCCAGTTGTAGGCATTAGACTCCATCTCCATCTTGCCGATGATGTACCAGATGCAGGCCATCCAGTGGGCCAGAAGTGCAAACATAGACATGAGCAGGGTGAGGACCACTGTGCTGTGCTGCGAATAGCGGTCCATCTTTTGCAGGAGCCTCAGCAAACGAAGTAGACGGACGGTTTTTAACAAGTGCACCACGGACACCTATGGAGAAAGGTACAAACCAAACACGATGAACCTTATCATGCAGGCAAATTAATGGGAGCGTTTATACTATGATACATGTCAACTACATTCTTTCCCAAAAACAATAAAAAAATTGACATAAGTTCTCTTTGATAGCCTTTGTACAGTAACTTATGGTTACCTAAATATTATACTACCCAGAAAAATGATTGTTATTCAAATAAGACAGAGGAAATATGAAAAAAAAAAACATGAATAAAATCCAACAGCTTTGCAGTTTTTCAGCCTCAAGACAAAGATAAATGTTTTATGTTATTGTATATGTAATTGATAGTGATGAAATACTTAAATAACTAAGAGAAGAATAAACAGTGTTTCTATATCAATGAGTAATGGCACAAATTGGATAAAATTAAAAATGATTCCTTAAATTAATTCAGTTTAAGATAAAAAAAAAACATTGACTGACAAAAAAGTGGAAAATTGTAAAGTTATGATAAACTTCCACCATAAACTCACTATAGGTATATTGTACTGACTGACATGATAATTTCACTGGATAAAAGCCCTCTGTGTCCCTCCCAAGCTGCCGCTCTTTCCCTTTGTTTCTTTTCCTACACTTAAATTAACTTCATGCTTTAGAGATGGCCTTTAAGAACACATTGTTTTTGCTCTGGTTGTAATTAGACCGTCATAGAAGAATAAAGGTGGTATTTTAGCCAGAAATGCACCAGTAATGCCTTATTTAAATATTGACAAAGTTAGAGTATAGAGATCCAATTTGCTTGGTTAAGATACTGTATTTTAGGAGCAGATCTTTTTATCTGTTCTTACAGAACTAGAACGAGGTTCATTACCAATAAATGAATTAAACAAGTAAGGTTGCATATTTTTGATCTGATGATTGAGTAAAGAAATCACTAAATTAAATTAAAAAAAAAATTGCATACACAAATCTCCTTACTGCCTGTCCATAATGTACTGGTCAATGCAAAACAAAAGTAAAATTGAATCAGAATTATTTTTCTAAGCCAAGACCATCTGACCACCTTAAGTCAAAAACAGTCAGACATAAAAATGAATTTAAGAAGAGATGTTTTAATAAATGTTCATGCAAGTCGAACTTTAGAGTTGATTCTGAGTGAAACGTGGGTTATGTTTCAAGATGCAAGCTTTGCTTCTACAGCCTCTATAGTATCTGATCTCTACTGCAGTCGCTGGAGCTGTCTGCTCACTCTTTAGTCTTTATGGGCTACAGCTGCTGTGTCGCTTGCTGCTGCTTCTAATGCCAGACTGGTTTAACTGAATTTTTCCCTGCCATACTTTGCTACAGTCCATCTGTTGGGCTCTAAGAAAATCCATACTTACACCCATAAAACCAAGAAGCTGTCTGCAACACTCCATGATACTCCATTTCTAACATCCTGGCCAGCCATGGCCTATTTGGCTTTCCTTTGCACAGCCACAACTTTAACTAAGAGCCGTTTCGAATCACCTTACATCCCATAAAAGACAATGTCTTGACTGTTTATTCAAGAGAAGGTTTGAACGTTTTTAAGTGTGAAATAGACATTTAAAAATGGTCAAGTCCACAAAATAATTCATATTATTTCTGTTAAACTTGACACAGTGACTTTGACACCTAGTTGCAAGGCAATAAACCAAACTAGACATCAGCTTTTGGATGTGAACATCACTTTTCATTACTTTTGTTACAAAGCTTTGTGCAAAGTCTCAATTCCCCTTGTTAGACTTAGTTGAAAAGGAGTAGAGATTCTCTGGAGTTAAAGAGCTAAAGAGATCCAACAAAAAAACAGAGAGGAGAGGTGGAGCAACTTCCTGTTAAAATATGAAAAATAATGCATAACCCTAACTTTTTAAATAAGCTAAAAACCAACAGACTTCTCAAATGCTACCTGGATCTTTAAAGAGATCCTGACGAATGCTTGTACATTCCCACAGCATGATCTATATGGAGACTATTTCTGATGGAGGACCCTTATAAAATTGCTAATTAGAGCAATCAGACACTCGCTTGTAGGAGTGTTTGATTTGTTTTTTGTTTTTTTACTTTATATCCTTACCCATTTGAATTACTGTATTCAATCAAGCTACTTTGGTGGAGGTCCTCTGGTGCTTGTTTATGATTTAGACAGGAAATATAAGGGTCCCTTCACTCTCTTCTCTAAGTAATGCAACTGCTCCTCGAGTCTGAAACCTGTTTTGTTACATTATGACCACAAACTGTCATGTATTTTATCAGATATTTAAAGTAGTGCATGGTTGTTAAGAGGAACAAACAATGAATAGAAATTAGAATTTAGCTCCATTTCCCAAACCAACTAAAACCCACTAAAATGTAATAAAAAAAAAAGCTTCTTTCAGAAGTTTATTTGCAAATAAAGTCCACCTGTCTGTGATCTAGTGTCAATGCAAATAACATTAATCTGTGAGAGCCTTAGAGGTTTTTTAGAAAACATTAGTGAACACAGAGCATCACAAAGACCATAAAAAACAATCAAGGTTAGATCTGGAAAGGTTTAAAGCAAGGTTAAATAACAGATTATATCTCAAGTTTAAATGTTTCATTAAGCATTTCATATAGGCCGATTAGCTGCAGGACAGAGAAACAGCCAAGGTTCCCACAGTGATGATGGAGGAGCTGCAGATTTCTATTACTGAACAGATACAAATTGTGGGCATGGCACTGCTGTCTATTACTACTGTCATTTATGGAAAAGCCGACAAGAAGAAAGCCAGCCACAGACGGTGCACAAAGGAGGAAAAGGAGCATGAAGTATACGTATAAAGTGCATCCAGAGATGTACAGTGGATGGTAAGAAATGTCTCCTTTATGTTTTATCATCCACTATATACACTTCATGCTCCTTTTCCTCCTTTATGCACCTTCTGTTGTTTATAAGAGCCAATGTCACAAGTGAATTTCTCCATTGTGAGATCAATAAAGTTTTATTCTATTGTATTCTATTGTATTGTATTGTATTCTATTATATTCAATTCTGTTCTATTCAGTTCTATTGTTTGTTAGTAAGACGGGAAAAGTCCTGCTTTTAATTTACCCGAAGCCACGTAGAGTAGAAGTAGGGCTGATTATCTAATTAAAAGATACACAAGGCAAAATTTATATTGTGTAGTAAACATATAACTGACAAAATGGTACCATAAATGGAAGAACCCCCCGCATTATATTTTCAGACTGTCTTTATTGACAAAATAAACATATTAACCATCTGACAAAAGAGCAAATACGAGCTGATGTGTAGTTTTATTAGAGCTACTTTTTCCACATGTCTCCAGCATGCCTTTTTTTTGTTTTTTTTTGCACAATTATGCTTGGAGGTATGAAGGACGAGTGCAGCACAAGGAAGAGTGAAGCCCCCTACTGAGCCCTATGGGCTCCATCTCTCCTACACTATCCATCATCACTCTGAATCCCACCTATGGAGTGAGCAGGCTGTGCCTTTTTCTTCCAGTAGCATTTAAAACATGCAGCATTATGTTTCATGTATGCCTTGTCACCTGTGCCGTCCCCCCTACACCTTCATTATTTTCTGCTCTGTGGAAAGTTTACTTTAAGCTTCCTGACTGTTTTCTTCTTCTGCATTTTTAATTCTGCATTTGCATTCCTGAGATAATAAATGTACAGAAACTCATTATTTCTCCCCCTGCAGTCATCCCTTTAACCATACAGGTGTGCCACAACAGCACTGTGGGTCAGGTTTATTTATTTTTATTGTTTTATTGAATAATTGGAGCTGTATTGGGCCAATAACCTTGAAATGTCCACCACTTTTCTTAAGACCCAGGGGGCATAATAACATGCTTTCTTAGTGTAAGAGTTAATATTTTTGCATTACTGAAGCCGTCCTCCGTAAAATAACCTCAATGTGAGGCAGTCATGAAATCATTAGGGTACTGTATGTTTGTAGGTCACATACTAGAGCTAAATGTTAATTTTATATTTAACTTTTTGGTAAAACCAACACATAAATTTACTTTTATGTCTTGAACCATTCAGGAAGTGAAAAAAGCTGTTTCCTCCTGATCACCAGATTAATCATAGAATACTTAAAATCTACAGTTTACAAAAAATAAAAAATAGAAAGATTTTATCAAAGTAAATATTCAAGTGGATAAGTAATAAGTCTATATCAGTCTCTGCTAATAAAAACTTTTTATCAGATTGTAAAATATACCAAGAAATTTGAAAATCAGGAGTTTATAGAGGGATGGCAGATGTGGTGTAGCTAAGAGTCATTGTGTGTGAAAGAGGGCTTCAGTTTGTAAAGGGGACTTTCTAAATGCTCCATCCTGTGAAGGGACATCAGCCAGAACCGTCAGGAATAATTCCCCAAACCAAGGCTGTCCCCAGTGACAGCAGAGCTTCCTATGGCCCAGTAGCCCTGCACCTATACTCTGCTCCACTGGGAGTGTGTGGTATTTCCATTATTAGAATCTGGATCTAAACTAGTACCTCTGCCTGGAGCAGCCAATCTTGCTGCCCTTCTTTTAATAGCAAAAGAAACATGTTTTTCTTGTTTACCACCACTTTTTTCTTTTCTTTCAGCAAGTTATTTTAAATCAAACTGGAAAGCTTCTTTGCAATCACAGTCTAAATTATAATCACAATAAAATGAAAAGCTTTTAAATCATTTTTGCATGCCAAATATAACACCAGCAACAACTGAAAGGTTTTCCCTGTTCGTTTAGAAAAAACAGTGAACAGAATGTTGCCAGTTTCAAACCCTCAACACTTTAATTCAAGATGGTACATAAATAATGTTTATTTTAAAGAAATAAAATCTGCATCTAAATAAAACAAATGTTTTTGTTACTCAACATTTCACCGTTAAGTCTAAGTGGTGTTATATTAAATTGGATAGGGTTGAAAAACAATGGAAACCGAGGCACATATAGTGCGACAGATGTCCAAACTTCATACGGCTCATTCAGATACATGCAGTTGAATAGGCAATCTGCCGACACAGTTGGATGTGGGATCTGCACAAATACCCCCTTTACCACTACAGATGTTGGCTTTTAATTTCAGCCGGCAGAATAATCTTAAGATTTAGTTCATCTCAGGTTAGCCTGTGGAAGACAGGTTGAAATATTTCTGGATTTTCTTTCTACAGCATTCTCTCAACTCTTTGCACTCAAAGGTATTGTGGAAGATTTTTGCGCATTTTTTAAAAGACCCGCCCTCTCCACTGTGGAAAAAAAAAAATGCACATGCAGAACCCTGTACCCGCTCCCGAGAGTGAACGCCTATAAACACATGCAATAGCGTGCACGAGACAATTTCTCATTGTGCACGCTCTGTTTAAAAGTTGCTGTTCTCATAGCTCATACAAGCTACTGTCAATGAAAGTCCGCCCTAACCCCTAAATCCCTCAATCACTGTATAGAGCGAGGACTATATAGTGGACTTCATAGCGAACTCAGTTAAATTACCATTGGGACAGATTATCACTACTTTTTGCTCCCCGGTGTTAACTCAGCCTCCACTGCCCGTTTCCTGCGCCATCTTTGTTATTAGTCACTGTTGTGCGAATCCCATAATGCTTTGCAACGAGAGCTCTCCAGAGAGAAGAGAGCTCAATGACTGACAAATGCCTGAAGTCGTAGCTAGCCATACATATATGCCTGAAACTGCGTATACACAGAAAAAGTTAGCTAACTGGGGACGAGCACGTAGGACCGCCTTACATAAACATATCGCCAGAATGATTGGCAACTAGGAGGACCATTTATTTAAATGATCCACCTGGAAATAAAATATTGTCTTCTACCTTTAAGTTTCCAACTTAAAGATGCATTACAGAGTTTCGTAATGATACTGCCATCTGGGGCCAAAACATATAACTGCAGCACTCTTCTGCTCGTTCTTGTAGCTCACGCTTGTGCTGCACAATTTCTAGTTTTTTGGTGTCAGGAGATGGGCTGGATGCCAGACACTTTTGAGTAGCCATAAAATTCATCATGAACATAATACTTTGAGTGTTTACTAGGTTGGACCCATTTAACATGGACACGTTTGATGTCACTTCCGCAGAACAGTGTAGGAACTTCTGACTCAAAGTAAATTCAAGAAAAATAGGCTACAGGTTTATAGATGAATCAGTGCTGAACCACTGATGTGTCAGTCTACTCATCAAATGATGATATAGTCTTACAGGGTAAAATAAAATGGCTATTGTAAATATATTTTTGTGTAAAAACTTTCATAATGTGTTGTTAAGATTAAATTATTTTAGTATAAGAGTCTTTGGAGATAAGCCAGATAAGCATTCATACAGTCGTTCTGGGGTGTAGAGTACACGTGTTTTGCTTTTTTTTATGTTTCAGAGTCTATTTTTACATAGATAACTTATTAAAAGACACAACGTACTTGAAAAAGGTAAATATGATTTATTGAGGGGAAATTTTCAGTAATTGTTTTGGACCCTGGCTTTTAAGTGTTAAAAATGTCTAATCAATGTAAAGGCCAATTAATAGTTACTAGCTCTATCAAAACCCATTTTTTATGTTTCAAATGTCTAGATAACTAAAATGAAGCTAAACATTTTGTAGATTTTACTATTTTCTTATAACCCTCATAATATCACTGGTAGCGAAACAGACCCCCAGCAAAATGATGTCACCACTGTGGTTGGGACAGTACAGTTGGAAAGCCTGGCTTTGAAGCTTTAGAACATAGTTCTCGTGACTGTGGCTAAATAGCTCAATCTTGTGCTGATCTTATTGACCTTCCTCCAAAAGTTATTTGGTTTGCCCTTGGGGGCAGCAGCAAATCTTCATTGTGCCTAGAGGTATGTATTTGGAGTATTGGCGTCTTCCTTTATCAGCACTTTCTCTTTCCTACTTACTGGACTTTATAGAGTTGTTGCTTGAGTCTAGGAGGTTTCTGGATTGTTTCAGTTTCAATTATAACCAATTTCCTTTCCTATGAGGGTTTGATAAAGATGGATGAGATGACACAATTAGGCGTTCCAACAAAATCATGATCCAGAACTCACCCTGTACAAAGAAACAGCAACCTAAATTGAAATAATCCTCCTGATCATAATAATGATTAAAATCTAATTATATGTAAGGACCTAATTCCCTGCGTGCGTCATTCCACTGCTGCCTTTTGCTGTCTATTTTATTTTTTGATTCTCTCTTCAGTAAATAAACAGCGGCACACAGTTAGATTAGGGAGGAGAGAGCAGAAACTTCAAAAAGTAACGAATCAAAAGCTCCCTGTTGTACCATGTTTCAATTGGCTAATATCCATCAACCCGGAGTAAGACACAACACTCCTAATTGCTCTAGAACTGTGTTTCATCCTGCCCTTAGCTTGTCTTAGGGGGGGCCATATGTTTGACTGTGGCAGAAAAAAGTTTTAATGATGCGAGGCTGATCGGTCTGTGCTTTAGCTCGAGCAGAATGTGAAATCAACATGCCAAATCAAAATGACTTTGGGGCAGCACAGTTTATTTTATAAGTATATATAAATACATATATATATATATATATATATATATATATAT